CTCTCTCTCTCTCTCTCTCTCTCTCTCTCTCTCTCTCTCTCTCTCTCTCTCTCTCTCTCTCTCTCTCTCTCTCTTTCTCCCTTCTACCAATTACAATGTGGCCAGTCGGCCTTAATGTAATTGTGTCCGGAGGTTCAAGCGATATAGCATAAAATCCTGCGCCATCGTCGTATGTTCACGTAGACCGACGTGACGTAAGCACTGGCTTGGTCAACGTGTAAGCTTTATTAACTCGCCTCGAGTACTGTCCGACACTTAAAATCAATTAGTGGTACGCGTCAATTAGAAAGTCGGTCGCTTCATACCGAGCCCGAGTCATTTTCTTTGGGCGACATCCAGTCGTTCCGACGCGGAATAATACTCGAGGATGACGAAATCCGACATGCTAAACGCCGTCGTTTTAGAAGAGATAATAATACTGCTAGTATTTTCTTTATACCAAATTCTGGACGTGTCGATTAACCGATAACATTATCCGTAGTCAATTGATACATTAAATAAATTCGCCGTATACGCCAATAGATTGTCTGATTCAAACCTTGAAAAAAGAACTTTTTTTAATAAGAAGCAAATGTAAATCGGCCATTCGTGTATTAATTTGTTTCTTCGAATGTCAGGCGTTAATATAATAACAAAATAAAGCATGATTTGTCAAATTCTCAGTTAGAGTTTCGTCTTCATGCTGATTCGGATCGCTCGACTAAAGAAAATCTGTCTATATGGGAACACGGTCTATAGAATGCTGCTTCAATAAGACGGTGATGAGGATCGATCAAAGCGAGTGCATGTAGAGGAAACAGGTTCTTGAAGAGAGTCTGCACCACGACGCGGACATGGTCTGTTGACGACATTGCGACGACACGTCGAAGTGATCGATTGTGTCTCGCGTACAGAAAGGGGAGGATCTCCGTTAGCGATGACTCGAACACCACGTTATTATGCAAATCAAACCGGAAGTCCTTTATAGGCTTTATCTCATACGGATACCATCTTCCTTCAACAATTCTGTCTTTAGGCATAGATCGCTTTGATAAGATTTCGGATCAAATGCATAGAATATATTAGGAGAAATTTTGGTGAAATGTATAAATCTAATATAATAGGAACGACCTTTCGAGAAATTTAATTAGTATTTTCATATTTATGATGTGAAATCCCATGACACATAGAGACACGAAGTTATCAAATTATATATCACATAATGCCATTTTATCTCTACAATTATATTTAATTGTGATAATTGCGTTATTCCCCCGCGTGATATTATTCTCATTTTTGTCCTTTTGATGTTACGGTTTGTCAAGGAAAATCTAATAATTAGCATTGCATAAATATTAATTATTGTTTCTTTCATAATTTAATATCGCATTGCAGTTATTTATATATTTTTTAAAATCCAATTCTCTCTCTGAGAGGATAGCAGGATGCGGGAGAAGCGAAGTTGCATCGTTCTTGATGATTTTATGATGATTTGTAACGTCCGGGATTTATGAGGCAATAATCGGTCTGGTTGCCGCGTGTCTGTTCACGAATCAATTAAAGTATATAATTACTACCAGAGTTATTATAATTTCGCGATTGCGTTAATGCGCGAAATAAGACTCTACAGTTACTTTCACCTACTTATGTCTATCAGGAATGAGGATATGAACTAGTTGGTTATCTTGACAGAATTTTAAAAAATAAAGTAATTGAAAATACAAAAATTGTTCTTTTTTAATTGGAAAAATAAATAGAGTATTTTAATTGTGTAAGGGAAATGAGATACAAACTTGGAAAATAAAAACTGAAGCATGAAGAAAATGATATATTGATTTTTAGCAAAAGAATAGCGGTAAAAAAGCATCACCTTTCGATCGCAATACATGTATATTTTAAATTTATATATATATATAATATTGATATTAAAAAAAATCTATGTTTGTATCCACCAATAAACTTTCTTAAATCAGCATTGTTAATATTAAATCTTCAATTTCAAGCATTTTAATAAATTAATTTATGTTTCACAAATATTCAGCGATATTATGTTGTAAACACAAAATTCATTATTTATAATAGTTACTAAATACATTAATAACAACTGTAAAATTAATATGTTATTAAATTTATGGTTTCCGGTAATATATTGCAATATAACGCACAATGAGGACTGTTATGAGTTTGCTGCTATGTGTTATCTCATTTTTTTCAACCGAGATAGCGAGATAGACAGGAAACCGCGATTTACGAATTCTCCGAGGCGTGTGCTATCTACCTCCTATCTACCCTTCCTCACCAAGAAATGCCTACTTTCTTTCTTCGCATTTTTCTTTTATTTCTTCTTGGCAATTTGCATCTAACCCACCCACCCAAATAGTATAAAACTCCTCCGACCCTCGTTGAAATCGTAATACCGAAAGATTGTTCCCCGTCGTTTGTTTACGTAAAACCTGCGGATCTGCCAACCAATTGTAAAAGAAATGATGGCAGTTGACATGATATTAAAGCAACATCTCGATCTTACTACAAATTGAGAGAAAGATACACGTTGATAACGTTATTTCTATCATTTTTTCTTCAAGGAAGAGGAAAACCTCAATTTTTCATAATAAATATGTTTAACGTTAGGAAAAATTTAAAAAACATTTTGACATATAAGACAACTTTAAACAAGATTATTTAGACATTACACAAAAAGAAGTATTCAATTAGGAATATAATTTCCTACATTTTGACTTGTTATTTTTATTATTTATTATTTCCCGTGCAGCACCAATATGTGTCTGTACATTTTCGATATTATCCGTGTGAGAAATTCTTATTATAGGAAGTTAAAACGCCAAATAAAACACACCAGCTACGTCACCAACCTACAGCCATTAACGATCTAAGATTAGCGGCCGATCTGGAGGTAGAAATTATTACTGGAGCGGCTAAAATTAATGATATACCGCTCCAAATTCGACTCTGTATGACGCATTTGTAGTCATCAATAAATATCATGTCACATTTAAACTTGACATCTGCACCTCGATACAGCATGCACACACACACACATTATCCAGAAATTACAGCGGATACAATTTAGAACAAACAATGGCACAGATAAAAATAAATATTAATGGATATTAAATGGAATGGAAACAGATTCTTTGTATACTGGAGCAATGCGCTCATTAGTTCATTAGAATTGCTGTTAAATTCAAGTTTTGTGAGAATTAATAATAAATTAAAGCGTAGATATTCTTGGAAGATATCAATTTCCATGAGGAAAGAGAGAAGGTATGTAAGTACTGCGATTCATGATTATCAGTTATGATTTCGTTACGCCATCACAGTGTTAGCGTTCCTACACACATTGTGTCATACGCGACCCTGACTCGACTTTCCTACTTTACGATCGAGTTACACATCGCTCACACATGCAGTGACCGCTAAATTACATTCCTTGACTCTGTGATTTAATAATGCATCGCTGCGAAATCCAACAGGTTTTACAAAGTTGTGCTAAAATTAAGACATCAGTCTTAGCTAAACCAAAATAATATATTTTTACAATTTTTTAATATAATTCACTAATATTTCAAGTCATAATTATAATATTAATGAGAAAAAAGATATTCAATTTTATCAGCTTTTATCTTATCAAATTCTATTTTTCTTTTGATTTATCCAGCAACATTTATCTCAAACATTACAAAAACACATAGCCAATATTTTTATTCAAAATTATTTTATATCTATATTCTCTCTATTTTTATTACACGCTAAAAAAACATTAATAACTGTGTTGAAACATCTCTGAATAACAAACGAATTAAGAATGTTAAATTAAATTAAATTTGATCGCATCTCGCATTACAAAAACTTGAAAAACTTGCTAAGTAAATTTCATATTTTGCTTTCCGCCGACCGTCTGTCTAATAACTTTTAATTCGTAGCTAAAGAAATCTTAAGAAAAAGATGAAAAGAGAAATGCACTGACCTTGAGCAGATTTCGGAGGTATGGACTGCATGCCGAAAGAACAATTTTGTGTGCGGTAAAGCTGCAGCTGTCGCAGGCAAGCGTGACATCAACAAAGTCCTCTACATCTCTCAATTGGCGCACGGAACTGAGAATGCTCGATTGAAAGTCGTTCCACCTTAGCGAGTATTGCTGCTCTCCACCCGTCGATGAGGACGAAGAAGCCGCCATGGCGTCCGTCCCCTTGAGACTCACTACACGAGGTGCTATCGTGCTCACTCCTCGATACTTCCACCCTCGGACACCACTTCACCTTCTGAGTCTCTTAGCTTCCGTTCTTTATTCTGTAAACGTCTTCGATTCTTCGGTCGCACACGAATTTACGCTAAGATCACGATACCGGGCGAGTGACCAGATCGTAGTGCAATTGTTCGATGCTTCAAGTCACAAAACTCTTACGCAATAGCGTTGTCAAAAGTGAAAGCCAACAAATGAAAGCTAAGCGTCCAAATAAAAGTAGGTATAGGGGAAACTTCGCGTACACCACGTTGAAGAATTTCATAGTATTGGTGTCATGATAGAGGTGGCACCTGGAAGCGCGCGGTAAAACGTCGGACTGAGACCACAAAATGATTGTGTCGCTATATGTACTTGGCGCGAGCGCTATTGCTTATTTTGGTGATTCGCGGTTGGCGTCCTCTACTGTTTCTGAAAGTCCTGTTGGCAATCTGCTGTTAGTTACAAAAAAACAAATAACGCCTACGTATGCGAATAATACAAAGTAAACAAATAGGATCTTCTTCGATCGACGTTCTATTCTACCTTCGACAAATCACGAGTCTTATATCAATATGCGAAAATTGAAAATGTATCAGTGATATTTTTCTTTCATGTAATGTGTAATGTCAATAATTCAATCAATAATTACTTCATAAATATTTTAACCATTTTTTTTAATTATTACCAATTAAGTATTTAGAAAAGCTCTTTAGCTCTTTTTCTTTTACTCTTTTAATTACTAAACATATTCTAACAGTATTAAAAATACGTAATTATTATGTGAATGATAGATTTTTACATACTATCGATATGTTTTAGAACATATCTAATTATGAACAACTTTATTAAAATTTCGATAATAGATACATAAAATTTATCTATTTACTTTGTATTACTTTTTTATACAAATTATTATTATACAATTTTTTTATATTTACAATCTGTATATAATTAAACTATCTTTTTTTTGCTTGAATATAAATAAATATAGATTATCAATAAATGTCCTTTAGAAATGTGTTAATATAAAAAAAATATTCAAGATAGCGATTAAGTAGACTGGTTTATTTTAATTTACATGTTGCGATATTATTGATAATTCATGTATATAGGTTGATGAAATTTTTATACAGTTCCCGGGAATCAAAGATTACATTTTTAATGGCTACTGACTGACCAATTGTCCATGAAAATTTAAATATGTAATTCGTAACGAACGCATTACGCGTTACATTTTTAATACTGGACTCATTGGAGACGATTAAAATTTAAATTTTAATGCGCCATTCGTAATGAACAAATTAGGTATTATCTTGCCAATGTAAAACTCGCCGCTAATGGAATTGTTCAATCGACCTTAACATGCGCAATCGTCCGATGTAGAATATTTTTATGTTATTTCGTTAACCTTTTGTAGCAACTCCTATATGTTGTTTATGCTAAAATCATAAAAGCCACGAAAATTTCAATAAAAATAATAACCCATTTGATATTATGCTCATTCTGTCGTGAAGTTTATAATAATTAAAAAAAGCTAATTAAGTTAATTTAATTTATAAAGTTATAATTAAAAAAGTTAATTTAATATATAAAGAATATTTATTATGACTTATAAATAATTTAAGCAAAAAGATACATGATAAAGTTCATAAAATTAAATTATAATTTTATTATGTTATAAAATTCACTTAACACACTTAACAATTTACAACAACATATAAATATACAAATTTCAACCAATTTTATATATATATAT